TAAGACAGGCCTGGCAGATACAATATTACTTCTCTCTCCATGCATTTTCTCTACTGTCAGAACTGATCCACCTCCTGCTTCGCTGTTATAGTACACCTACTTCCTGTCCAGAGACTTGGTGAACCAAAGCAGCTCTGCATGGGGCTAAGATGCTGCTTCTCAGTTTCTCACTTTGTCCACTAGGCTTTTTCTGTTGGCTAGTATCGAGTCAAGGATAGTCATTCCTCTTGTTACTTCCTCTACTTTTGGTTGGAGGAAGTTACCAGCAACGTATGTTAGGAATCTCTTGGAGGGACTGTGTTTGGCAGAATTTCTCTCCAGACAAATATCGGGGAAATTGAAGTCCCCCACAATGATGACATCATGCTTCCCTGAAACACGGGCCATTTGCTTTTCAAAAGTTTCATCCTCATCTTTTCTTTGACTGGGTGGTCAGTAACACAGTCCATCCATTGTGTTGCTTTTACTCCTTCTGCCATTTATATTAATCAAGATGCTCACAACAGAACAGTTAAACTTGTCCTCCTGTATTTCTGTGCAAAGATATGTATCTTTAACATATAGTGCGGCTCCATCCCCCTTTCTGTTCTTCTTGAACAGGTAATAATCTTCAATTGTTGAATTCCTATCATGTGAATCATCCCACTTTGTTTCAGTTATACCTATCAAGTTGCATTTACCCTCCTGTATTAAGAATTCAGGTTCATGCTGTTTGTTTCTCATATTCCAGGCACTAGGATCAAGTTGAAGACTACATTGAAGACCACATGCTTTATACTCTAGTTTTCTTCCTGCATTTTTTGGAAGACCAGTGGGCACTGTTAGAGGTGTTTGCGCTGTTGTGGTGCATCGACCTTTGTTGTGATGCCCAGCTGTACTTCTCCCTCCCCTGCTGGATTCAGTTTAAAGTCCTCCTGATAAATTTCTTCATGCTGTGGCCAAACACATTCTTTCCAGTCCTTGTAAGGTGCAACCCATCCTTGCCAACAGACCATCTTCCAAGAAGTGTGGTCCAAGGTTCCAAAATCCAAATCTCTCATGTCAGCAGCACCTTCATAGCTAGGCATTCACTTGGAGTATTTTTCTTTCCCCGTCTATTCCTCTTCTATGAACTGGAAGGATCGACAATAAAGCTATCTGGGCCCCAAAGTTCTTGACTTTCCTCCATATAGCTTTGAAGTCTGACATGATTTCTTCAAAGATCCAGTTAGCAATGCCATTTGTTCCCACATGTGTAATAAGGAAGCCCACATGTCAGTGGTCTGCAAGAGCCTTGGCAATCTTTCAGTTTATATCTGTACTCCAGGGAAACATCATACCTGAGAAGTCCATGGGTCTTCCTGACATGCATGTGTTTCTACTCCAGGCAACACTAACTCTCTTCTCCGCTTGTTCTTGTTCTTGCATGCTTTGCTAGGATTGCGGGCACTTGGTTGACCTTTCGCCTCTTGTTCAGGGTTGCATGGGCTGACTTGCAGTCCTTCCACAGCAGGCTGCCCTCCAGTCTCCTCCTCAAGCGATGGAAAGCAGTCCAAGAGTTCCAGCGCTTCCACTGGTGCAGAATGTCTTCTGGTTCTTTCGTGCCTAACCGTCCCTCTTTTTCAGGGAGTTTCCTCCTCATTTTCCCTTTCTTCAGGATTGTCTTCTTCTGCCTTAGCTTGCTTTTGCACTTCTTTGCTTCTGTACTGCTCTTAGCTGCTGCAGTTCCACCATTCTGTCTAAAAACTCTTCATCTTCTTTTATTCCCTTGACGGTGGACACTTACTGCTCTGATACTCTCACCTTTTCCTCTAGCAGGACTACTAGCTTGCTCCATGTATAGGCCATGTTGCCTTCAGGCAAGAAAACAAACATTGCACAGATGCTGCAGGTCACCACCACTTTGGAGTCTCCTCGGTCCATTCTTTTTGCTCTTTCACACATGTTTAGAAGTTAAGAATTCAGCACGTGGAGGTTCACGACAAACTATACTTGTGGCTTTGCTTTAAATGGAGATGCTTCTAAGTAGTAAAAGCCTTTTCATGCAGGAGCTGCACATTCAATGCTCGATTCTCCAGTCCCTGCATCATTAATATAACTTAACAGTGCCCTGTGGACTTGAAACATAACTTGGAAGATGAGACTATAGTTCTACATCTTAAAATGCAAAACTTATGCTTTCCTTTCCCTATGTGGTTATCTCATTGTATCTTATGTCCCATGCATATTCCCCAGTAATTAGTACCCTACTCTGAAATCAGAGGTAGCATATAGCCATGAGGACCAGTAGAAATTGATAGCCTTCTTCTCCATGAATTTCTCTAATCCTTTTTTACAGCCTTCCAAATTGGTGACCACCACTTCTTGTGGTAGCAAATTCCATAGATAAACTATGCCCAGCTTTTAGTGAATGGTTGACAAGATGAATTTTTGGCAAGAATTTGGAGGAGTTCAGTATCTTGAGGTTGTGTGATTCTGGAGAATTAATGCTGAATAGTGGCTGAAGTGCCAAAAAGGTCCACGAACATTTTCCCGCCTTTGTCATAGTCAGGAAAGGGAGGCATATTTTTCAGTCTTACCTTGGAGAACAAGGATTGGTTGGAGATTGTGTTGATTATATTCCACAAGATGTGCTGTCTGGGTGGAGATGATAACGATTTTACTGATCCCCAAGGTGAAATAATGACAGACATGCAACAAGAACTCATCAAAAATAGCCTTGTGCTCTCTGTGGGATATCTCACTTAGGATATCAATGTGAAGGTAAAATGGTGCTCCCTGGGGATCATAATCCTAAAAAAAAAACATTATTGTATCCCTACCAGACCCTCGAGACCTTTGATGGATGCCCTTCTATGAGACCTTCCCATGAAGTAAAGGAAGAAACAAGAAGGAAAAGGGCTTTTTCTGTTATTGTGCCTTGCCTTTAGAATGCCCTTCCGAAGGTGGCATGACTGGAACCCTCGCTGTTTAGTTTTCATTCCCAGGTGAAGACATTTTAATTTCATACCTGTTCTTAATATAATTATGATTTAATTGTTCTTACTGCTTGTTTGTATTTGTTTTGTGCATCGTCTCCTGTTTCCACATTAATTATTGCTTTTAATGATGTTGGAGCATTACTTTTAAAATGGATTATTACTTTTAAAATACTTTTCTGTATGGCATTGTTTTTGTGAGCTGCCCTGAGATCCCTAGGGCTATGGGTTGGCATACAAACATCATAAGTAAATGAACTTAATGGCAACTAGATTCAGCTCAAAAGAATTGTGAATTGGGTGTATAGAGCACATCCCACTTATCAAGTCTTCATGATTACTAATCGCATTCAAGTCCTGGCTTTCTCTCAGTAAGTCAGAGTGATGCATCTAAAAAAGCCCTGACTGAAGCACACAGCCTTATAAAACAGTACTGCTAAGAGGTATTGACTTGTCCACAGCCATTCAGTGAGTTTCGTGGCTCTGAGCACCTATTTCAACTTGACTCCCTTTTCCAAGTCAAGCGTTTCATCCAAGTTCCACAGATGTTGAAGCTAGCACAGGTGGGGCAAGGCAGCGGGGCTCCTTGATAAGCTATCTTCCTCAGCCAGCCTTTCCCAACCTGGTGCATTCCAGATGTTTTGGATTTCAGTTCTCATCAGCCCCAGCCAGCATGGCTTCTGGTCATGGTTCGTCATTCAGTTCTGCCAATCCACTACACTGCACTGAGATGACAGAGATATGTATGTTCTGTATCTGAAATAAAATGCTGCAACATTCTCATTAGATTTATCTGAGATTGTTGAAAGCCATCCTGCATATGTCAGTGAAATAGAAGAAGGATGGATGGTTGGATGGAACAATGGAAAGCACACCTGACTGGAAATATGAAACACAACATGATCTCAGAAAATGCTGCAGGTCTGCAGAGGTAAGTAACCAAAAGTAAGCTAAGCCAGTCCATGAACATGAAAGGTAAGTATATGACTACAGAGCTGCTGCAACATCAGGCTGCATTTCTCTCTCTCTGCTCCACATCACTGGCTGTTGTTGGGAAAAGCACAGAAACACCTTGTGCTGCGTTCAGGGATGTGCCAATGAATGTAATTACACAATACAGATAGGGTGGGGGAAAGTATGGCATAGAATCACCAATTTTAGCACCTTGAAAATATCCCCTCTCCTCACCCCAAGTATATCTGAAAGGAAACCTTACAGATATTCTTTTCATCATGCCAAATCAGTTGTGACTAGGGACAGATAAACTCATGTTTGATACCATATAGTTTCTCTTTTCATGCATTTTAAGCTTGTTCTGTTCCATTTCCACTTCAGAGTGTGAATTTGCTTTTTAAAGTCTCCATGGAAATCAATACATTTTCCCATGTGTGTTTATCTAAAGGTGTGCAACTTTTTGCCAGTATATAATTTTTGCTTAATATAGTACAATTTTGTGCTCAATTTTCGTAGCCCATCATTTCTGAGTGCATGTTTGTACATATTTCCTCCAAATATTTACATTTTTGTGGATTCACAAATTCCATTGTAAAACTAGGGAAGGTGTCACTGCATTCTATTTCATACACAGATTTGGAAAGGGTGAAATTTACTGTAGAATGCAAACCTTAATCATTATGCATCCATACCGATTTGTACCTGGCTCCTTGAAGTGGCAAGACATGAAGATCTTGATCAGTGTTCATATCACTGACCTAGATATGTTTCACACACTCCACTTAAGTCTGTTTTCCAGACATGGTCCTCCTTTCGGGACACTGATAATGTGTAGCTCTGCCTTCTGAAGCTTACTTGATGCAATCGATATCTCTCTGCGAACCTGAGTTGAATTAATAGATCTCAAGCCACTGTAAGCTAGTATTAAAACTCCTCCAGGATTGCAAATAATCCTAAAGAGGACCACGACTCATTCTTCTTCCATACACAGCTTAGCCTATGGGACAGATGCTGCACTGGTAATGGGAAAATCTGCCATCAGTAAGTTTAAAGTAGTTATTAAGGACAGAACAAACAAAGTAAGCTTACTTCAAAGACAAGTGTCTCATTAGTCGGCCCAGCTGAAGAAAGCCTCTCTGGATGATTAAAAGAACGCTGATAGTCAAACATTGTCCCAGCAAAATAGAATTTTCCAGGCCAGTCAATCATCCAGTCTTTTGTTAGGTAATACTTCATGTTCAAGTTGCGCACTGCAAGGTAGCTGCTTGATGTTTGCAGTTCCTGGATTTCAATACTGTGAGTTCCTGCTGGAACTGTAACTATTGGGTAATAATCTAAATGGAGATAAAAGAGAATACGTTGCTCAGTTTTTAAAATGAATTTATATGGCTCTGCAATAGCCCATATCTGGGCTCTCTGAACAGCTCACAATATAAAGATAAGCATTCATTCAAAGTACCACAGGATCCTATTTGTTATAAATATTTATTCGCAACCCAAAATCTTGGGAGCAATTTAGTGAAGGATGCTGTTGGAAGCAGGTGTGCTTCAGACTACCTAGTAGGTTCATGGCAAAGGCAAGAGCAGAACCAAGGACCTCTCAAACCAGAGTTCCGTCTCCTGTGGGGATTCTGGCAACCTTCTGAACATGAAGGACCACAGGCATCCGATGGAGAGCAGCAGCAGGCAACGTCGTCTCCCTCTCCCTCTTGCAGATACTGTAGTGCAGTGCTTCAGGCTCCAACAGAGGCATCCTGGCTTGCCAGCATCAGTCTTCTCCTCTCCCTATCCCTGGAACTCTCCCACACAAGAAAGCCCTTCTCCAAAGGAGCTCTTAGGACATAAAGGAGCGGTTGGGCTGGGAGTGGGGAGAGACACCTGAATGCAAATCTCCACCTATAAGGTCACAGGCATTCTCCAGCCTCATGCCTGGGGATCCAAAAAGCCCTGTGGGCTCTAGATGCTGTCTAGTGGTCACGGGATCGTGCTGCCAACCTCTTTGCTATAGCTGTTGTCAAGTGTCACAGAATCTGTCATAGAAACATAGAAAACAGAGCGAGGCGGAAGGGGCTCCCAGGCCATCTAGTCTGACCTCCGGCACCTGCCGGCTCCACTCACAACATGCCCACCATGTGGACGTCCAGCCTATCCTTGAACACCCACACCAATGGGGCCTCAACCACCTCCCGGGGAAGCCCATTCCACACCCTCAGGGTCCTAACTGTCAGGAAGGACTTCCTGGCATCTAAATGGAACCAGATTGTAGGCAGTGACCTAAGCCAAATGCCAAACGGAACAATATCATCTTGGCTTTGTACCTAATAGAGCACTAGGTGAGCAGGCTGAAGCAGTGAGTTCCTAAGACAGGGCACTCCTACCAGTAAGTCCACTGCTGCGTCCTTGTCCAGTGCGCTACCAATGTGCCGGCACAAGAGGCAGGTCCACTTCCAACAGTCAGTTGCCGGGTAATTCATGAGAATGGAGGCAGTGGGCCTTTTCCTCAAACTGGTTTACACTGGAAATAGATCACTGAACACTGGAAGAGGGTCAGCAAGTGGGCGGGGGGGTGTTACCTTCCTGCCCCACTGGGCTTCCTATAAGCACCTGGCTGGCCACTCCGGGAAGCAGGATGCTGGAGCAGGTGGGTCTCTGAGGCCCCATCAGTGAGGGGGTTCAAGGATAGGCTGGACATGCACATAGCGGGCATGTTGTAAGCGGAGCTGGCTGGAGCTGGGGTCAGACTACATGGCCTGGGACACCCCTTCTGACTCGCTCTGTTTCTGTTTCTATGTTTCTGTATTTGGAACTATATTATAATATCAGCATCTATAAGTGATATAGCCTGTTTTGTTGCTGTCTTATTAATTTCTGCTAATTATTGACTTCCTTTTTTGTTGCTGTCGTTTTTATTGAGAGATTGCTTTGCATAATATTAATGTGCTGTATTACATATTTTGTATAAGATTCATGATGTACTGCATGATCATTGTGCTTCTTAGCCACCTTGGCAGGCCCATTGGGTCAAGGGAAAATGAGATAAAATTATCTTAATAAAGAAACAAATTAAATGCTGGATCTAATTCCTACATCAATCTCTACTCTTACCTTGGTTTTTTGCAGCTGAAACCTTGGACTGCTAGCAGCCATATAGGAAGAAAATACCAAGAATGCTGGGTTAATTGTCACGCAGAATGGATTTCTTACCATTAGCTTTATGCTGGGTCAAATAATGGCCCGAGAAGAACAAGCATGTAGAATTGTCGCCTTTGCAAACTCCACAAGCATCCAAAGCTGCTTTGGATCCAAGCCGATGGTCACAACCTACTCGCTGCAGCAAAGAAAGCACGAATGAAAGACTGAAAGGAGCACAGAGTAACTGCTGCCTATCGCTCCCCCCGCAAAAAAAGAAAAGAAAAAAAAAAAGACTCGAGTGATGTCAGAGGTCTGGTGGTCATTTTGCCCACCCTAATCTGCCCACGTGTGTACTCAGGCCACATACGGAATGAAAAAGAAAGCCAGCTGGTTTGCCAACTATTTTTGGCGGCAAGCTGCTAAGCGAGCCTAAAGTGGGCAAATTCCACATGTTTTAAGTGAAGTTTGGCCATTTAAGGCTTCCACAGCAATAGCAAACAGCTACAAAAGCCTAGTATGAAAATTTGGTTTGCCATTGAAATTGGTAGTAAATGGGCCCTGTTTCTCCTGCCACCACTGAGCAGTTAAGCAGTTTGGCACTATCCATGCCTGTCTTATCCTGGCAGTGCGGACTCCATTGAGCCCATCTTTGCTAACTCAGTCTAATGGTCTGCATAGGTCAGGCTGTACTTGCCAGCAGTTCTCCGAGACCAGACACCTGCCCCAGCTCTCCCTGAGCTAAGACTCAGTAACTAGGATTCTTTAGCAAGGATTGAGCCTTCGATGGTCTTCATGCAAAAGTGTGGGCTCTGCTGCTGAGCTGCTTCAGTGCTTTGCAATGGAGAGAACTGACAGTTTAATCTTACTTCACAGATCCCATCAATGCAGACATCATCTGTGTATGGGGAACATGGGGTTCCATCTTTCACTCGGTTGGACATTGCAAAGAAAAAGTCAAAATCTTCTGCTGTGCAATAGAGTTTGCAGCGATCTTCCTCTGAAAAGACATTTTTAAACAGTGTTGATGTTCCATTCGGAAGGATGCAACACAAGGAACAACATCAGAAGAAAATTCTTCGCATAACCATGCTGTGTGGAATAAGCTCCACAGTGGGCAACTTTGTCCCACAGGAATATTCCCAGTAGGACCCTCCTGTGTGTCAGTTCTGTCTCAGAAGGTTGGGGATATGCTAACCAGGAGGGGGCCTTTTCTGCAGTAGCATCTTAACTGTGAAACACTCTTTCTCAAACAATGCTGCTATTTAATATTTAGGGTTTGAATGATGGTTTCAAGTATTATGTGCACCTTTATGGCAATTCTGTATTATAGCCCATACTGCAGATCAGGTTACTGAGTGAGCAAGAGGCTCCCTTATGGCACCTAATGAGTTCATGACAGAGGTGAGATTCCAGTGGGGAAAGTCACGATTTGCGGTTCAGTTTCCCGGACACTCCACCACACCAGTTCTGCTTTAATATCTCCTTTTGGCCTTTAGATGGCCATTTAAAACACATCTGTTTGCATGAGCTTTTCATGAAAAACATTTCCCTTCACTGCTGTCAACTTTCTGTTTTTGCTTATTTCCATGTGGATTTTTTAAAATATTGCAGGACATACAAGAAATTAGCCTGAAGTTGTTACTGGGTTACCTTCTACTTTTGTGTAGGGTTTCCATTTGTAGTACCATCCGCGGAAAGGCTTGCTGTTGTACTCTGCACACTGCTGGGCCCGGAAGTCAGGGCTGTTAGATGCACAACGCTGAATATTGCAAAGCTGATAAATGCGACTTGAGCCCTGACAGAACTTGCCACCATACTGAGGCCTACAGGAAAGAATACACTTTTTTCCTTTCTACGTAATGGCAAATCATCCATGGAATGTGTAATCATCATTTCAGCTTCTAGAATTCAAAAAAAGCACTAAAAAAACTTCCTTAATGAAAAAACTTTGCATCAGAGCCTGATTTCATTTCATTCACCAAAACAAAGAATTAGTCGATACCAGTGGTGGCCAAACGGAGGCTTGGGAGCCACTCGCAACTTTTGCAGTTTATTTGGCAGCTGGCCACTGCGGTGCCCATGGGTGCCCACTTGCAGCTGGCCACCCCACCGCATCACCTGCCACCCACTCCTGCTCCCTGCAGGCACCCACTTACTGCTCACGGCCCGCTGCTCACGGCCACCCGTGGCACCCGCTGCAGCTCGCAGACATCTGACATTTACCATATGTAGCTCTTCTACTGAGCAGGCCTGGCCACCCCTGGTATATGCCATCCAGTAAAACCCTATGGAGAAGCTGAGGAGAACAGAATAGAACTGGGAAGTCTATCTGTTCCTGAACCTCATAGGGATTGCTTGTGGAATAAAACCCTTCATCATCCAGAAAATACTCCCTTACATTGCATGTGTGCTGAATTAGTTTGCCTTATCTTCCATGGATAGGATCCCAGGTGCCCTTGAATGCATGGGCAAACATACACACTTAGGAATTCAGTCATGATTCCATGATCCAGTCTCAAATATCTGAATATTTTACTTCAAAGCAGCCCAGAGAGAGATGGGCCTCAGTTTCTCAGTATGATAAGGTCAGTGATGCTGCAAAAGGAGAGGTACTCCCATTTCTTTGATCTAAATCACTTTTCAGTGCTGCTATTTGTCACACTAAGGAAAACATGTTTTCTGCAGCACAGCAAATCCAAGTTTCAATGGGGCACAATTTAGAACAGTGAGGGATCACACCTCCCCCAGTGCCTCTGCTCAATCAACTTCAGAGATCCCATTGCTCTTACTCTTAAAATGTCAGAAGAACCTATCATTGATTTCATATATCTCATAGATTTTGAATTTTAAAATGCAAAACATTTTAAAAATGGATGGGAATTATGCAATTGGAAGTGGCCAACTATAGTTTGCCCTGGACGGGGCATTGTTCTTCTGCATAGCATGTGACTGGTTTCCACTGTTTCATGTCTGCTAACATGCCCTTGTACAAATGCACATTTGTTCGTGTAATTCAATGTGAATGAACTCAAACCCCTGTCAAAGGTGAAAATGTGAATCACAAATCTGCAGAATCTGGATGAACCAGAAAAGCCAGTCCACTCCAAATTCCACAGGCTGGACTCATAAAAATCTAACTTACTTGAATCTGCGGCAGATTTCTCTGACATCCCTAATTACATGACGCACATAGTCAGCAAAGAAGATGGATCTTGTACCAGATTTCTGAGCACATGTCATCACTACCCAAGCATGTCTCCTAGGGACATAAGTCATAAGTCACCCCTTGGGAATGCTTTGTTGGGCTGATCCAGGACCACTAATCGGGCAAGAAATAACCCTGATGCATCACAGGGAAACTGTTTCCAGATTAGTGTTCCATGTTTACCTGACAATGATGTGCAAATCCCTGTATGGTTCATTATCTCTGGACGTGAAGTCCATTCCATGCAACTTCCTACCATCCTTTAATATTCTATTTAGCTGAATCCATAGAGGAAAGAGCTTGTTAACATATGGTCAGGAATCCGGGTGCAATTCACACAGACTTGGCATTTTAACATGTGTTTACAAAACAAGCTGGGATGTGTTTCTGTGGTTTGTATGCTTCTAAAAAGCTCATGTCAATACAAACCCCGCTGGATTTGTGACTGGTACCCACATGCACAGTTTTTTGTTCAGCTGCAAATGGTAGCACGGAAAACCCAAGGCTTTCTGAATCTGAGGGCTAAGATACAACTAGCAGCTACTTCTTTTTGTCTCTATTGACTCTAAGGTAAATCCAGTGGCCCCTGTCTGGATTCAGATCCTAGCATGAGGGACTTTAATGCTTTGGCAATGGAATTTAATCATGTGGGGCCTATTCTGGGTTTGGACGGAACAGGGCCCACTTTTCTGCTCCCATGCTAAGATCCCCATCTCTACTGGACCCCTATGTCAGGTCCAGGGCACAGGCAGCAGGTGCCTATGGCTGGAACAGTGGTGATGGCGGTGGATGGGGATCTCAGCATGATACAACAGAGCCAAAGGCAAGGGTCCGATGCTGACACGGCATGGCAAAACCAGAGGCAACCCAAGCTGCAGGTACCTGGCCAGGTGGGGTCAGGCCAGAGGCAATGGCAGAGTTGGGGGAGTCAGGAGTCAAGGCAAGATCCCATGTGTGCACAAACAGAAGACTTGCAAAGCTGACGGAGACTGGGAAGAGACAACCCAGCTGTCCTCTCTTCTTTGGGAGGAGAGCCAGGCTGGGCCCACTGCACATGTGGGAATGCCAGTTCCTAATCAAGAGACAGAGGAGGTGGGAGCGCACCGCACGAAAAAAGAGGACAATGCAGGGTCATGCAGTGCTCAGAGAAACTTTTATCCAAGGAAGCAACCCTCACTGGAGCCCAGGAAAAGGCACAGTAGACCTTGACATGGTGCTCCAGTACAGGGAACTAACAGAAGCGTACAAGGTACTGAGTTATATGTAGCTTGCCTGGAACATTTGTATCTTTAGGCTATGTGAGGATGCTGCTTGTAGCCTGAGAAAATGCTTGCTTCTTTCCATTTGCATAATGAAGCTTTGGACTGAAAATACAGTTCGACCATTTGATTACAAGAGAGCTGAGCCAGACACCCAACAGAAGTTACCTTGGACCACTGGTCTGAAATGGCAGAGTATTCTCCTTCCACGCTGCTTGCCCATGATGGGGATTGCTCTTTCCACTTGTTTTGTCTGCTCACCTTTTCCCTTGTGGGGAAAGTGTGGGGCAGGTGAAGTTGCCCCAACTGAGGAACTGCTGGTGGAGTGTTGGCTTCACTATGCATCAGTTTTTCCCAGCCAGGCAGAACCTCATGCAGCAAAGCTGGCTCCCCAGCCAAAAGGCTGCCGGTAGGACCTCCAGGCAGCACTTGAGCAGGGGACTGAAAGGCATCAGAGTGTCCCTCTGATGTCAAGGGCTGCAGCCCCACACTGGGTCTGGCCCTGTTCCCCTGTGTCACCTGGCCAAAAGCAGTTGCCCACCCCTGCTCTTCCCCAGCTCATGCCAGCAGGGAGGAAGTGAAGCCTCCCTCTTCTCCAGGCTGAAAAGGCCCAGTTCCCTCACTTTTGCCTCATATGGCTTTCCCTGCGCTAAACTGACTCTAACCTAGCTATATCCTTCCTGTAATAAGAGGCCCAAAACTGAACACAATACTGCAGTTGCGGGCGCACCAGAGTCATATAGAGTGGTAGTAATACCTCTCTCGAACTAGAAGCCACACATCTGGCTATGCAACCAAGGGTGGTGTTCGCCCTCTTGACCACCGCATCACACTGCTGGCTCATGTTCAGCCTGCAGTCAACCAGCACCCCGAGGTCCCTTTCACAAGTGCTGCTCTCCAGCCACTTGTCACCTAACCTGTACTTATGACAGCTATTCCTATGCCCCAAGTGCAAGACCTTGCACTTATCCACATTGAACGCCATCCTCTTGTCTCCTGCCCACTTCCATAGTCTGCCCTGATCCTTTTGGATCTGGAGTACCTGCTCCTCAGTTGTGGCCACTGCTCCAGTTTTACTGTCATCTGTGAATTTGATCAGCGGACTGTTCACCCCTTCTTCCATGTCATTGATGAAAAGATTAAACAGGATCGGCCCCAGAACAGAGTCCTGGGGGACGCTGCTTGTCACTGGCAGACCCCACTTGTCATAAGGAAAATTGGATTAGGCTTAGAGGAAGGGATGAAAGCTGGTGGAAGATGCATCTGCAATTTAAGATATGCAGGCAATACCATTTGATTACATTATTATTAAATGCCATTTATATCCATCCTTCTTTCCTTTTTCAAGGAATCCAAGGCAGCTTAGACACTTATCATCTACTTGATGTTTATCCTCACAATAACAACCCTGTGAGGTAGGCTAGGCTGGGATGCCTACACTGGCCCCAAGTCACCAGAGAGCTTCATTGCTGAATGCAGATCAGAACCCAGATCTCCCAGGAACTCAAGGTGGTTTACACAATTCTTTTCCACCTCTTAACCTTGTTCCCCCAACAACAACCCTGTGAGGTAGGTTGGGCTAAGAGTCTGTGGGGACTGTGGGAAGTCCCAGGCCTGTACTCTTAACCATAACACTACACTGGCTCTCATATTACTGGCAGAAAGCAGGAATGAACTGAAATGGCTCCTGATGAAAGAAGAAAATACAAAAGCAAGACTGCAGATGAATGTTAAGAGAATAAAAATCATGATTACAGAAAAATTACATAACCTCCCTGTCAACAGGGAAGAAATTGAAATTGTGAAGGATTTTGCAATCCTTGGCTCAGTTATCAATTGAGATGGAGACTGCTGCCAAGAAAATAGAAGACTGAGACTTGGAAGAGCAGCAATGAAGGAACTAGCAAAAGTCATTGAGTGTGAGGACAGATCACTGGAGGCCAGTCCAAGATCATCCACATTAGTGTACACCCAATCACTATGTATGGGAGTGAAAGAGCAGAGAGGAATGCTACACAGAGAAGAAAGCTGATGGGAAAAAACAATGCCTTTGATACATGGTGCTCCCTGGACTGACAGAAAGACCAACAAGTATGTCCTACATCAAATCAAGCCAGAACTCTCCCTGAAAGCAAAATGACAAAAGCTGTCAAACAGAGGCTGTTGTACTTCAGGCGCATTACAGAACAGTAGAGTTGGAAGGGGCCAATAAAGCCATTGGGTCCAAACCCTGCTGTTGCAGGTCAGCGGTTTACCCCACCAGCGTGAGAATGCAAGACTCACTGGGGAAGGCCATATTGCTAAGGGTGGCTGAAAGCAGCAGCAGAAGACCAAGTATGAGGTGGAGTGGTTCCAAAAG